AGAGAGAGAGAGAGAGAGAGAGAGAGAGAGAGAGAGAGAAAGAGATGAGTCGTCAAACCCAGATGAAAAGAACAAAGTAGTGTATTACGCAATGAGCTTGTCGGAAAAATTCTTACCTATGTGACATGTAACATAATGCTACATAGACATCTCTTAATAATCACCCGTAGGCTCTTGGACGTTAAAATTGCGGATACGACACTCCTTTTGGACGAGTTTGAATTTTCATGAAGTAAAATACGGTGTCACTGTCTAGAATCCTTAGACAGAGATTCGAGTACTAGATTCGAATGAACATTCCGACTGAGTTAAATTGAAGCCGTGTTAGATCTAGCTTTGGTTTGAAAGAAATACGCATCTTTAAACTTGTTTAATCTATGTAAGTAAACAAAGTAAGGTTAGCTTTGTTCCTCATTTCGGTGGATAGCAGGTCTTGAGAAAGGCATCTTACATGAATTTTCCTCACTTCACCCAAGTTAGAAAAAGTACCCAGCCATAGACAGCGAAAGATCATGTCAGTATGTTAGTGTTTTAGCGCCTTTAAAATGGCTGTTTTACACTGAATGGTTCCCAAGAAGTTGAGATTGTTTCAGAATGCTATCAGATTTGCGAGGGTAATAATATGGATTGCACCACACATAGAGCTTTCTGTTGAACGGGATTTTCTCTATAAATGTTGTTTTTGTTATCATTATTATAATACTGAATCCAGGCACCAAATATGTGACATGGAAATACGCTAAATTCAATCTAGTTAGGCCATAACTTTCATTGGAGGACCGTGAAACAGCGACTGTGCTAAGCGACAATTTCATCTTGATGTTACTGATCATGGTATCGATAAACAATGTTACTAGATATCTATCGTGTTTTTGCTGAATAGGCCCTATGATATATTTTATATGTGTAGAAATCCTATGTAGAAGTCCTATCTGAGACAGTGAGCGATTAGATAAAACCGAAGTAGTGATGAGGTATAGGAGAGTAATGAGAGAGTAATGAAACTGTGTTTTCCGATTCCCGCCCCAATATAAAGAGATGCAGGATACACACGTGAAAAATGATAAGTTAACCCCATCTCGCCCACCCCCAAACAGATCACGCTAAGAACACATCACGTATTCATTATTTCGTCTTGTTTTGTATACCACTTTTGTCCTATTACTGGAGCATTTCCTTAAGCATTAAGTTATGACGCTTTACTGTTTCACTAGCCTTGTATGTACCCTGTTGCATCAACGTATTCACTTACTTATGTAAAAGTAGCTTTGATGTAGATAGTTTAGTAATATATAAGCAGTAGCAGTAGCATCAGCATCAGCTGATTCAGTAGTAGTAGTAGTAGTAGTAGTAGTAGTAGTAGTAGTAGTAGTAGTAGTAGATTTCTTAAACTGCCGTTCCAAATATATACATAATACTTTGGAAAATAATAATCAAGAAAACAGTGAAACACTATTATCGTGATGATATGTGATGATGATGATGATGATGATGATGATGATGATGATGATGATGATGGTGATGATGATGATGATGATGATGATGATGATGATGATGATGATGATGATGATGATGATGATGATATACAGTGGTAGGGCTAGAGCACGATGGAGGGAAAGGAGGGGTGGGGACAGTGAGGAAATGACGACAACGACAAAGAAGATAACGACTACTAAGAAGTAGTTATGAACAAAAAAGCAAAAACAAAAATTCTATCTTACTCTTTCCCCTCTCGGTTCATAGTTTACCCCTCCTCCCTTGAGCCTCTGACACCAGCCATTTCCCTACCAACTAGTCTCTTACTTCTGCATCTGCTCTGCATCTTTTCAGACTCTTCCTCGTGGTATCTTTATCTTTGGTCTTATTTCCCAACAGTTTGCTCCTCCGTAACCTTTCAAACTCTGGAGAGCATTGGTACAGATGGTATAAATTTTCCTGAGACTGCAGCTCAAAACTGCAACACCCACAGTTTAATATTAAGTTTGAGTAAAGCGAAGCACATCAACACGATAATAATATAATGGTCATTTAGTGCTGGGAAAAACTAAGACAGGCAGACAGACAGACAAACAGACAGTCTTACAGACAAACAAACAGACAGGCAGGCAGGCAGGCAGGCAGACGGGCAGGCAGACAAACAGCAGACAGAAACAGAGGGAAAGTAAAGAAGTACGTACCAGTAACGCCCTCTACCCACCATGCCAGCATTTTTAAATATAACTGTTATCCTCAGAAGTGGGAGTGAATGGCGAGGTACTCATCATCCACAACGTGACACGGTATTGTGGCGGGGACTACGAATGTGTAGCTTTCAACGGCGTGCCACCAGCTGTCAGTAAAATCGTGGAGGTCTTTGTGGAGTGTAAGAATATTCGTATTAAATTTAATTCCCAGAAAAATTGTAGAAAGCTTTGTGGAATTTACATTATGCTTCCATGCACTCTAAGAATGTTTCTTATGTTTTCAGGTATGTGTGAGTGTGTGAGTGTGTGTGTGTGTGT